ACAAGGTCCAGCATGGCACCCCTTCTTGTCGATTCCTCGACCACTTGGAGAAGGAACCATTCATGCATTCCAGGAACCACCTGGATTTTTTGAGGCCTGCTGTGTTGTCTCTCCAACAGATATCAGGCTGGTTGAAGTCCCCCATGAGGACCAGGGCTTGTGAACGTGAGGCTGCTCCTATCTGCCTATAGAGGCCTCATCTGCTGTTCTCCCTGGTCTGGTGGCCTGCAGCAGATCCTCACTGTGATAACCCCTTTCCCTGCCTTCCCTTTAATCCTGACCTATAAACTCTCAGTTAGCTCCTCATCCATCCCCAGGTGGAGCTCCATACACTCCAGCTGGTTGTTGACATAGAGGGCAACACCCCCTCCTCATCTCCCCTATCTGTCCTTCCTGAAGAGCCTGTATCCTTCCATTCCAACACTCCAGTCATGGGAGCCATCCCACCACGTCTCTGTGATGCCAATCTGGTCGTATCCCTGCAGGCACACATACATTTCCAACTCTTCTTGTTTATTGCCCATGCTACGTGCATTAGCATAGAGGCATTTAAGTTGGACCCCAGTGAAGATGACTTTGTCTTGCTGGCTAGAGCAGCTGGAATCATGGTGCAGTGCTCTTCAGGCATGTACCTCCCCGAGTTACTACCAGCAGTCCCAGTTATATCCCCTTCCCCCTTCCAATCTAGTTTAAAGCTCTGTCAATGAGCCCTGCTAATTCTTGCCCCAGGATCCTTTTCCCCTTCTGAGACAGGTGTGTCCCATCTTTTGCCTTCCAACTACCTTGGTGTCGTCTGCAAACTTACTAAGGGTTCACTCGAAATCAAAAATAATGTATGGTAATGGATTGTAAGGAAAACAGGATGGGAAACTGAGTCAAGGAGGAGACTGAGAAGGACAAAATATAGAAGAGGAAAAGTGAGTCAGTAGGTTAATGTAGATTATATCTGAGAGCAATTTTTGAGCAAAGATGATCAGATCTAGCTGGCTTAGAAAAAACAGTTAACTGGAAACAGGAATGGCTGGAAACAAAAGTTAGAAAAATAGAAATAGGTTGGAAAGGATGAAGACATTAGAATATAAAGTGTAAAAGATCCTGTGCTACAACATACTCCTTTACAGAGCCCGAAATAGAAATTAAGTAATAACTAATTTGTACAGTGTTCACTAGATGCACAAACAAGTATACAAATGTGGAAATGTATACAGGCCTTCCAACGTATGTACTTCCCTCAAGGGCAAAAAACTTCATTACAGTTGATCTCAGTACCATTACATGACAGTATTCAAATATTTCCTAGAAACTCACCATCATGTTTATTTGAAATGAAAAGGAAAAGGTTGTTACTAATACTATTAAAAAGAATAATAAAAATACAAGTGTGTATCTGCTTCACTAAACAACTGTGTCACCCTGTAACACTTCACTACATTTCCCATCCCTTTCTTCACTGCGCCTGCTTTCTCAGCTATAATTCTAAATAGCTGATCAACTATGTAGAGGAGATGCTTCTAATTTTTCTGTAACAATAATCTAATTGTGACTGTTTGTTAATTGATTACTTTGTTATTAATCCCTTCTAAATTTATGTTTTTTTAATTTTACCTATGTGAGTATTGTTTTCCAATCTTTCTCAACAAAATTGAAACGGCCAAGTGTGAATTATCAGTATATCTTATATTCCAGTAATACTGGAAAAGCATTAAATTGATGAGAAGGAAATACACGTTTTGAACGGGAAGAAGTATTCTTGATAGATTAAACAAACAGAAGCAAAAATAACTTGAAATTACATATGATGTAATATGTACATCATAATTACATACACTCCAGTTCCTATTGCTTCCTATTCTCAGAAAGTTGTACCTGTCAAAATAAAAATCAACAAAAATAAACTCCTGACAAAAACAACTAAACTTCTTATTTAGCATTATCCCAGATAGAAAAGAAAAATATTCTTATTTTGAATTTTAGTCATTGAGAAAAGTAAATGTTTCATGCAATTTTAAATTTGTGTTAAATACTCCTGTAAAGTCACATCCTATTTTTAATATACAAAAATGTATACAATTGAAATATACACTATTTCCATATGTTATTTCATGGAATTGTAAAAAAACCTTATGAAATACATATTGCATCAGAAAATAAAAGCAACCTTAAGATGCTTATTGTTAAAGGCTATGTTTTTACTAAACAACTTTATACTGCATTTTATAGGAACTATTTTTTTTCTGTGGAATGCTTTTGGTAATCTACTAAAACCACAGCTCCCTTGGTGTTATTACCAATTATAACAAAGTTTAGTATTGTTTCCCTGCTATATAAAAGTAAGCTTTTGATTTTATATTGCCATTTGAGTGCAATAATTTCTAAAAAACATTTCTTTTCAATGAAAAGTCCCTAATAGAATACAGAACAATGTCAGCTGCTACAAACTCCAGCAAGTAGATATACACTGGATATAATTTTACAACACAAAAAGTGTAAATACAGAAAAAAGAAGATTCAAGGAAAACTCATTTAACACTTCTCCTTTTTTTCTGAATGTATTTGTAGCAACAATAGGGCAATCAAGGCCAAGAAATTATGACTTTTTGCTTACCCTTTCAATGTCTGCCTGCAAATTCTTGAGAAGTTACATAAAACCTCCCCAGAAATTCAGGTGGTAATTTTTCAGAGAACCAGTGAAATTTGACTTTAAAAAAACCTGAAAAATTATGCTCCAGAAGCAGATGTGGGTTCTGTCTCTTAATGACTTTGGAAGCAAAAAACATTTCTTTTTCAAGGGTAGTGCCTTTTTTCAGAATCAAGTTTTTAGCTTTCTCTTCACTTGCCAGGGAAAAGTCGCACATTATTTGATTGCCTAACACAGAAGAGAAGAGAAACTTCCGTTTCATTTCTGTAGTATGCAGTATAGTTCTGCACTTTACCCTTCACACTAGGAAATTATCTGGCAGTAACATAATGGAAAATCTCCACTTACACATGGGGGCTTTACACAAATGTATAAATATTCTGCTGAAAGCTAACTCTTACTCAGTTTTAATGGATCAAATAATATATTGTCTTTCTCACATATCTGCATTAGAGTTATTTTCCAAGCCAAATCATGTCTTTTGGCAATAGCTTATAAATGTTTGACAATACATTCATTTGCATATATTAATTTTAATCATCTATTGAAAAATGTGACTTTGATATAAGGAATTAATACATGTTTTGTTTCAGTTAGAAATTTGTTTCATCTGGGTTCACCTGTAAATAGCAGAGGCTGGATAAGATCCTGTGTCATAACTGACCCTCACTCTACCTCGGTACAGCTCTACCGCTATATGATCTTTATCGCCTTTGTAGAGCAGGATCCCACTGTCTTCATCTGTGGCAATCTAGTTAAAAGAAAGAAACACTTAGAAAGAACTAAAAATAAATTTTAAATCAATATGCTGTATTAAGAGAATCTCTGAATTTACTGCCATACTCTATTATTTCACTATAAAACTGTTCCTTGAAGGACAACCGGACAAAATTCTTTCTCTTCCTATCAATAAGCCCATCTATTTCAATACAAACATAGCATTATTCCAGTGACTCTTCTAGATTTTTAGCTCAAACTGAAAAGCTCTTTAAATAAGCCAATGACAACTTTGGCCAATTTTACACACCATGAGAAGTTAGTTACGCTCTTTTCTAGATCAGAATCTACAACACAGGAAATCTTACCTGTAGAGTGATATTGGTTTGGGGACGTATCTTGGCTGAAGGGATTTGTAGATAGGATTCTTTGTTGACAAAGTTTATACTGACCAGCTTTTCACATCTGTCACCCTGGTAGCCTGATAAACACTGACAGATTGGTTCACTCTCTTTTATGATACACTGGGCTCCATTTTGACATTCATAATTATCACAAGGGCTGGTGCGAGGTAGAACCATTGGTGGTGAAAACTCACAAAACAAGCCACTAAATACAAACAGAAAAAATTACTACTTCCAAAAAAAAGCACCTTTGACATAAGACATACATGTTTGTACTACCTTCTGATCTTTCTCACCTGTATCCTTCTGGGCAAATACACGTATATCCATTAACTGCATCAGTACACTGTGCTCCGTTTTTACATTTGTTGTCCTGGCAGTCATCAAAGTCAATATCACAATGCTCACCTACATATCCAGGTGTGCAATCACATCTGTGAAACACGAAAGCAAGTGGGATAGCACAGTGCCTTTTAACAATAATGTGATTATGACAAAGTTCAGGAACTACTTGTTTAAAACTCAAGAAAAGAAAAAAAAAGCATTACTGTGAATTTTTGTGTAAAGACTATGTAGCTTAACCATGTTATTACATGGGGAATCTACACATGTAATGAATTTGCTATTTTGCTAGTTACGCATGGTTACTCATCTGCCATTATACTGAAGAATTGTGATTTAAATCTAGAGAGCCCTCATGAATCATTTTGACAGATGTTCTTGGAATTTATGAGTAAAGCAGAATGTTACAGGATGTTGAAAGTGGCTGTGAACACTAAAAATAATCAATAAGCTTAGTTGCTGAAACTGAGATAAATAATCCAAGGCTTGTATTGTACTGATGGATATTTTCTTTGTCAACTGAACAGCTATGAATGGACCAATACTCCATTTATACAGTCTAGAAGCTATGTATAGATTTTTCCCCTTGAAGTTCCACTAGCCTGATTTACTATAAATAGCTCCATGGTTAGTAAACTAACAGAAGTCTCAAAATACATCTTCTGCTCTCCCCGAGACTCCATGGAACTAGAAACAGCATATCCTCAAGACAGTACGCAATGTTTTTTTGGTTTTGCTTTGTTTTTTTTTCCCCTCATGCAACTCTCGTTGTTAATGCTAGTGGCAGTTCTTCAGGGAATTCTCATATATTAGAACACATGAATGCCTGGAACTCTTTGAAAAATGAATGGAAAACATTGCAAATTAATGTATCCACGTTTTGGTTTGTTTGTTTTTTGTTTTTTTTTTTAATTAAGATGTATGTAATTGATTTCATTAGGTTTTGTGATTCCCTCCCTGGTGTTTGTTTTAGCATCTAAAATTTGCTCTAAAGCGTGAAGAGCAATTTTAAATAGCTGTGTAACTTTAAATTAAGTACTTCAATCAAACATCTCAATTTTTATTCCACATATACGAATAAGAAAATTGAAAAAAGAATATAAAGCACGCTATCAAAAAGCTAAGTAAATGAGACACATGCTTGAAGTTACTCGATGTGCTATTTTCTGATTTAAAATCTCAGAAAGTAACATGGAAGATTAATGAACTAGGCAGTAAAGTGTACGATGCCAAACTAGGTTTACTCAAATGGCATGAAGAAAATAAACAAAACACACAACAATTTAAATCCAACAAGTTTTCTATTTTCCAGTTGAAAAATATCAACTTCATTTCATATTCATTTGTATATTTAACATTTGACTATTTTTGCCATATTTTAAATGAAATTTCATTTCATAAATAGTAGGCATGATAATAAATAATCTGATTTTAGCACAAGAGCATACTGTGCATAAAACAGGTGCTTATGGCAACAATTGAAATCTGCAGGTTTCCTGTATTTATTAAGCTAAAGCCTATTAATATCACTTTAAATAGTGCATAGCAATTAATATGATAAGGATATGGTGTAATTAAAGATTAGTTTTCCTGGGGATGGACTTCTTTAGCTTGTACCTTCCAGTGTGCCTTCCTAATAATCTCTTTCACAATTACTTCTCAGAAAGCAGTATAATTATTCCACTTCTATTAAATGCAATTATTTTCCTACTGTCCAAGCTAAAAGGGTTTTGTACAGACTGTGACATAGGCTAACTGCTCTACTCTGCATTCCTATTTAAAATCTGACTGGAATTAAAACTGTTAAGGATCAGTAAAATTCAGTAAAACATATGTATGATAATAATGTAGATCTACATTAAAATAATGGCCTATTCTGCCGTAATGCTTGATAATAACTGAAATCAGTATTTTGAGAATAGTACTTCCTTCCACCTAAACAAAAGGAAAAGACGTTAAACAGGGTAAAAAAATAGAAATTTAGATTCAGTTGGATTGTGACAATGTTTTAGACTTACTTGTATCCTTTGGGTGTCAGAATACACTTTGAGTCATGTTGGCAAGGATTCAGGTTTTGAGCACAGAAATCTAGTTTCTCCTCACAGAGCTCACCTGAAATATAATGTGTGCTATTAATTCAGTGAACGTATCACAGTGACCTGAAAATAGCTGTTTCTATTCTGAAAGTAACTGCTACAGCTTTGGTAAACTGAAAAATGCATACTTCATGATATGATAATTAATACTACCTTTGTAATAAATACTAAAAATGAAATAAATAGTAATAAATAAATACTAATGGTTCTGATAACTCCTTTAATTAAAAAAAAGTTCAATGTCAATCACCTATCCATGGATATAAATGATAATTTTGTGAAAAAAATGTTTTTATTTATTTATCAAGCTCTGCTGTATAGCAAAACACTAGTGATCAAATTTCTTCTCACTAGGACAAATAAGGCATCAATATGCTTTCCTCTCATTTATTTCTAAGCTCATTACACACAAAAATACTTTGATTTGCACTATAACTAATCTATTATCTCAAAAAACCCTGTTAGTATCACTGCACATCAATACAATTCAAATTATCCCAAAATGAAACTTGCTTTCTACTTTCTCTTAAATATGAATCTCCAATTTTTGCATTTGTTAATGTACCATAACTATCTCTAATCTGTTCTGTGAAAAGAAAAGGGAAAAAAACCCCACTATGTCAAATGTCTACCCTTCCCTGCTGCTAGAAGCCTAACAGTGGATCTAATTTCTAACATGAGCTGCATAATCTATAAAATATTTTCATATGATTAAAATATTATTTCATTTGCAACTTTATGACAAGGAAACACTTACAGGTCTGTAAACAAATCAACAATGTCTTGTTCCCTAATAATTAGAAGATACCATGAATAGTGTACTTGCAAAGTTTATCACTGGTTTTTAAGATAAATATACTTATTCCAGCATGCACACAACTTGGGTAGAATCAGGAACAGGTAAATTAGAAAACATATAGGATAATAACATTGGAATGGAGATTTTTGGAGAGAATATATGAAGATCTCTTTCAGAATATATACGCATGTGTGTGTATGTGCATCAGCTCATCAGCTACTACTGTCATTAAGCAATAAGGTTTCTGACATTTTACACTGCTCCTTGCCAAGTGCCTAGCACCACTCAGAAGCTGCCTTCTTGCTTACATGGGCTTCTCTGGAATTCTATAAGTACACATCATAATAAAGTGAAAGCAACAGTAGATGGTTAAAGTTTGGGGTCTTTTTTGTTTGTTTGTTGTTTTTTTTTTTTTTTTAACAAGTTCAACAGATCCTCCAGAGAAATCTGTCCTTTCCACAGCAAGTGTGCTTACATACTAGTGTTTAAAACTGCATATCGTGAATATGAATACTGACTACCCAGGACTTGAGGCATTTATTTCCAGGACTTACATCTTAGGGTATGTAGAACTTTTTTCAAATGTTGGATAAATAAACGAAAATGTAAAAGAGTTGAAGAACAGTCTACATTAAAGCAAGGACAGAGAAAAAAGGCAGAACGGAACCAGAGCCAAAGATGGTTATGTTGGATAAAACCACCTCTGAAACATGTATGCTAAGTGTGATAAGACATGAGACCTTTACATCTTCAAAAATCACAGGAGAAGCCAAAATCAGCTATACAAGTACTTCACAGCCATCCAAAAGATACAGACTGGTTCTACATAAAGTTTTTTTGTTTGGTTGGTTAGTTTTTTAATTAAAAATTGATGGCACATTATGAATTTGCAAATAGTGCATTTTCACTACAAAACCAAATATAGCTTTGAGTTAACACAAGAAAATTGCCTTCAAACACAGGCTACTTAATAGTCTTCAGGAAAACTCTCAGTAACAATGTGACTTAGTCAATATATGTAGGAAAGTAAATGAAGATCAAATGCAGGCCACTGAAGATGACTAATAAAAAGATGTTAATTCTGTCCTCAAAGCCTCTTCAAACTCTCAATGGACTTATTAGTCTGAAAATGTGCAACTGTTATGACTAGGTCAGTGCACAAAAAATCTTGAAATACCAAGGATTCTTTGCATCCCACGATATAGCAAACAAAAACCAGATAATTTTCGCTTTTCAAGGGATTTTGTTCAAACAAATACATATATAAGAGGAAGTAATTCTTCACATAGCATTTTGTCAATTTGCAGAACTTGTTTTAATAGCTGTAATCTGTTTAAAGGTCAGCAACATTTAAAAGTGAGATATAAATACAGGAATAGGTAATTCAGATTTTCAGGAACATGGGGTATAATAAGCAAAATTACTGTTTTTTTACTTAGTTTATACACATTCCTATGGCTTACAAATCTCTCTACATATGCCTACATATATATGTAGATATGCACATATATATATATATATATACACACACACACACACAACCCCCCATACAAATATTTTATTATGGTATAGACTCTACATTAAATTGCATGCAGAATTGCAAAATATATGACATCTCAATTACAAATGGTAAAAATATGGCTGTTTAGTACTTACAAGACAAAAACACCTCTAAACATTCCCAAGATTATTAATTCTAACAGAGGATCAGAGACTTTCTGAAAGTGCCATGCTGAGCACGGCTGGAGGTTTGCTGTCGCTAGTTAAAATCACAGTATGCTCAATGGAAATGTTCAGTGGAAAACCTCAAAAATCCCAAGAAAAAGGCAAATCAGGACTGGCATAATAGGAGCAAGCAATCTCACCATTACTGTCAGCTTTACTGGACTGGCATTGATCTTTGCTACAGGACAGTAACTGGGCCATCCATGGCTTAGACTATTATTGGCACAGATCTAAAAAATTTCTTGTGTCACAAACAACTTTATTGAGTACGGCCTAAGCCTGTCCATCCCCTCAACTCCCATCTAGGTACTAAGAAAATACATGATTTCTTAGAGCACATAGTCGTCATAGGTTGATGGCCCTAATAACTTATGAACTACACTGAAAGCTGAATCACCTTATGAAAAGCTAAGGGGCACTTGAGATGTCTTAATTACCAAGTCATGGCTGTGAATCTTGCATAGAGACTGGAAGTTTAAGTTTGAAACAGGCTTAAATTTTTGAAAAATGTCCACCTCAAATCGTAAGACCAATGTTACACTACCAGGCCTACTGCAGCCAAATGGCTTGTAAAGAGCATCACGTATTTTTGAGATTATGGTCAGACTCAGACCTGAGTACTCTGTAGAAAAGTCTGCAAACTGAAAAAGAAGAGAAAGAATGATTCAAAAACCTACTTGTCTTTAAAAGACAGGACTTTTTGTGCTGTGATACCATAGAAGGAAGGAAAATTTCCCCTTGCATTTGCAAATTGTATGCACTGTGAAATAAGTCAGAATCATATCTCTGGAGGGAGCTTTCAGTTAAACAGTCCATTAGCAACTAGCTTGTGGAAGGAAACAGGAATCAAGGAAAGGACATGGTAAACATGGTGGTCCATGTAGTGAAACGTAAATAATAATGTAAAAAACCCTATGAAAACAAAAGTCTGTTTTATGTAAAGTACAAACTTTCATTATAAAGAAAGCGTAGAATTCATGACAGACTTGCATTCAAGATCAGTAAAAGGGAAACCAAGAAAAAATCAAGATGGATTCCAAAATATGGATACTGAATTTCTGAAAGAAAATATAAATACTAGAAGAACAAACCAAAATAAACGAAGTGCCAGGTCTTCATTTGTACTGTTAACAGATTTATGTTCTGAATGGAGTGTTCCCATAACCAAAATATAACTGTTTGTGAAACAGTTAATAGAAAAGGTAGGGGAAAATATGTGACATGGGATCTGAACCAATAAAGAATAGTTTCCTGTTAAAGCAACATCTCTTTTAGCGTCCTGAATAACTAATGTGTTATTCAGAATTTAACTGAGACAAGGTCAAGGGGAGAAAGTAATTTTGTTGAAATGAAGACAGTGATGGAAGTGAAACACTCATTGAAGGAAATACCAGATTTACCAAGTTGGGCTTCTTGGCTTTACTGGAAGGAAATGTTAGTGTTCAATAATTTGGGAAGTATAATACAATGTTTTAAAAAACATACTTCAAAATAATGTAAAAATATTGTGAAACAAATGTCTCAATTCAAGGAAGCTTGACATCAATGTGTGTGTGTGTACATTCTTTTATTCATCTAATGCTACTGTAAGAGCTTGGCTAAGTAAGTTTTTGAAAGATGGGAACATTTCTGTATGTAGGAAAATAATCAACAGACTAGTTTGTTTAAAAATAAGCAGTGGATAAAGTGTCAAAAATCCTACCAAACGCTTCCAAAGTTTAATTAGAACAAGCAATAACTCTTTTCAGAAGATATCTTGCTCAATTAATCCCGTAAGTCTGGATTCTGGTATGAAGTAGCACTGCAACCAGTGGAACTTTGCTTGGTCGGCACAGTCCAAATGAACACAATATTCCAAGGTCAAGACTGGAATATTTACTGAGATTTTGTAGTTATATTTAGAGGATGATGCAGATTAAACAGGCAGACAACACTATTAAATACTGATAACTAGTTGTGTGTAATCTGTGATTAATCAACCAAAGTTGTAAATTTGCTAGATTCACAGTTCAGTTTGTTTCCTCTGTACATGTTAATTCACTCTTATGACTTGATGAGATTATAAATCACAGAAAAACTTAACCCTGGAGTTTCCAATATATAAAGTCATGTAGTACCACAAATAATAAGGAACAATGCAATGAGGTCAAAAAGGATTTACATCATAGTTATTTTTAATAATTGGGCAATAAATTCAAAATACAGTCAAATAAAGCAATGGCAGTGACTGTATTTCTGAATGGAGAGCTCTGACACAAATAGACATGGGCTTCTGAATATAGCACATTGCTAATTACAGGCAAGCTTGCTGAAGAGCCAAGCTTAAAATCACTAGTGTATTAGCAAAGCCGAGTATGACATCAGAATAAAAACTAGAGACAGAATGCAAAAGAAAAGTCAGTTTTCATTCTCAAAAGTAGGTTTTTGCTACAAGACTTATTTGCTGTTCCAAAGCTAAAATAACAAATATATAATTACAGACTTACTGGTAA